TGGTTCAACAGTATTAAAGAAATTAACTGTTTTAAATTATGTTTAGTATAAATTAAGAGAATATTGCACAAAATTTATTAAGTGAAGTCTAAAGATTATAAAATGTCCGAATTAAAACATATATTCTTATAATGAACAAAATTAAATAAAAATTTAGAGTTTAAATAAATAAATAAATACTTTTTTTTTCCCATCTTTGCCCATTTGGGGGACCTTCCCTCCAAGGTTATATAGTGCTCTCATCTTCTCTTCCACTGCCCACCCCACAGTCATCTCTTTCCCCCTTCCTCCTCCCTTCCCCTTAAGGGGTCCTTCTGTTTTTGCTTCATAAATCCCACCGGCATTGCCATTTCCCCTTCCAATTCCTTCACAAAAAATGGAAATTCCCATCCTACCCATTGCTCTGTTTCTGGTAATTTGTGCCCCCTCTGCCCTGGGCGGCCACGACTACGGCCAAGCTCTGAGCAAGAGCATTCTGTTCTTCGAAGCTCAGAGATCCGGCTACCTCCCCCACAACCAGCGCGTCACATGGCGCGCCAACTCCGGCCTCCAAGATGGCAAGGCCAGCGGGGTAACGCCTCGCCTCTGTTTCATTACTCTGAAAATGATCACTGTTTTTTTCTTTGGAAGTTGATTGAGTTTTGGGGTTTTGTTTGTTGTAGGTGGATCTAACCGGAGGATACTACGACGCCGGCGACAATGTGAAGTTCGGACTGCCGATGGCGTTCACGGTGACGATGATGAGTTGGAGCATTGTGGAATACGGGAAACAAATGGCCGCTAATGGCGAACTTGGACATGCCCTTGACGCCGTGAAATGGGGCACCGATTACCTCATCAAAGCCCACCCCGAACCCTATGTTCTTTATGGAGAGGTTAGTAGTCATTATCATGTTTTCTTTGTCTTATAGAACAGAAATTTACCAATGTTTAATTTATACGAATATTTGACCTTTTTTAGTAAATATAGGACAAAAGTGTGTATTTTTGGGACCTAATTTGTAATTACCTCGTACAATTGTTAATCAAATGGAATTTCAATTTAATTTTTCTTTTATTAAAATGAATATAAACAAGCATTATATTTGAAGAAATTTTTTTAATGTGAAAAATAAAGGCAAATTGATGTGCGGAATTGTTAGGTGGGAGATGGGAACACGGACCATTACTGCTGGCAGCGGCCGGAGGACATGACGACGGACCGACGAGCTTACAAGATCGACCCGAGCAATCCCGGGTCGGATCTCGCAGGAGAAACCGCCGCCGCTATGGCCGCTGCCTCGCTCGTCTTCCGCCACTACAACCCCTCCTACGCCAATGAGCTCCTCTCCCATGCCCGCCAGGTTAGCCAACCAATTATATATTATTTGAATTTATCCACAAAAAAGATAAAAAAAGAAAATTACATTTGAAAGCGTATGCTAGTGATGCCCCACGGCGCATGATAGTAAAACTACCGTAATTAATACTTTATTCTATTTATTTATTGCTATATTAAATGCTACGTTTTTTTAGAAAAGAGATAAAAATGAAAATGAAAATGGTTAATCCATGTGGCTAAGTATTATTTAAGAAAATTACAAATATGATAAATTATGATTAGTTTGTATTCTATGATTTATGCGATTTTAATGGTTTGATTAAATTGAATATTAAAATGTAAATTTACGAATATTAAAATAATGGGAACCAAAATTCCATAATAATAGTCACGTGATAAAAGTGTCGGTGGAGTGTTTGGTCATGTGAACGCAAGTGTGAAATTACGGGAATGCCATTGAAGAAAGATATATTAAAAATAAAAATAAAAATCGTTTTTTTATTTTCAGCTGTTCGAGTTCGCGGACAAATACAGAGGAAAATACGACAGCAGTATTACTGTCGCTCAGAAATACTATCGATCTGTCAGTGGCTACAATGTGCGTATCTGAACCCCTTTTTCTTTTGGGCCTAAATGGGCCAGGTACTCCTTTTGGGCTTAAATCCATAAGCCCAAACCCCACTTTTGTATGGGCCGGTCGTTCTGAACGGTTTAATTTGCAGGATGAGCTACTGTGGGCAGCTGCTTGGCTGTATGAGGCAACAGACAATCAATATTACTTGAATTACCTTGGAGAAAATGGGGACTCCATGGGAGGAACTGGTTGGAGCATGACTGAATTTGGCTGGGATGTCAAATATGCTGGTGTCCAGACCCTTGTCGCCAAGGTTTCTTTCTTTTTCTTTCATTAATTTTGCTTTCAACTTCAATTTCTTTTCGTTATTGAACGCTTTTGCAGTTCTTATTGCAAGGACGAGCGGCTCATCATGCTCCGGTGTTCGAGAGGTATAAGGAAAAGGCTGAAAATTTCTTGTGTTCTTGCATGAAGAAAGGCACTCGTAATGTTCAGACTACGCCCGCGGGTCTCATCTTCCGTCAGAGATGGAACAATATGCAATTTGTTACTAGCGCTTCATTTCTCGCCACTGTCTATTCCGACTATCTCTCTTCCTCCGGTGGTAATTTGAGGTGTGCCGCCGGCAATGTCCCACCTTCTGGGCTTCTTGGCTTTGCAAAATCTCAGGTTTGTATATATTTTCCAAATGGGAATGTTGTAGTAATTGTCTCGTTGTTCTTGAAGGGAGGGTTTGATTTTATAGTGGAGTGCCTGTGAAGTGTTTGACGAAATGCCTAAATGGGGTGTGTGAAATTTTAACCAGGTGGATTACATTCTTGGAGACAATCCCAGAGCTACGAGTTACATGGTGGGATATGGAAACAATTACCCACGACAAGTCCACCACAGGGGATCTTCCATTGTTTCGATCAAGGTCAATTCTGCCTTTGTCAGCTGCAGGGGTGGCTATGCCACATGGTACAGCAGGAAGGCAAGCGACCCCAACCTCCTCTCCGGTGCTATTGTGGGTGGACCTGATGCCTATGACAACTTTGCTGATGAAAGGGACAATTATGAACAAACTGAGCCTGCTACCTACAACAATGCTCCAATTCTTGGTATTTTAGCCAGACTCAGTGGTGGTCATAGTGGCTACAATCAGCTCCTTCCAGGTATTTAGTTGATTAAAATCAGCTTTCTAATAGCATTTTCAAGTAAAATTATGGTCACTGATCATCATTATTTTGTGTTCTTCCACAGTGCTTCTTCCTCCTGTTAATCATCCAGATCCATCTGCACAGTCCAAGACTCTTCCATCTCCAGGTATGATGAGTTAATTTATCAATATAAACTGATTAGGAAGGAAAGATAAAGAATAGTTAAATTTTTATTGATTATACAAGGCAAATATTTGAGTGAAGTGCTTGTTTTGCAGTGTCGTCTTCTACTCCAATTACTGTTGAGCAGAAGATGACAAGTTCCTGGACTGCTAAGGGAAAGACTTACTACAGGTACTCAACAAAAGTGACTAACAATTCACCAAAAAGTCTCAAAGATCTAAAACTTTCGATATTCCGACTTTACGGTCCTCTCTGGGGTCTGGAGAAATCTGGTGATTCATATGTCTTCCCATCTTGGCTCAACTCATTAGCTGCCGGAGAAAGCCTCGAGTTTGTGTACATTCACACAGCTTCTCCAGCCAACATCTCAGTCTCCAGCTACACTCTCTTCTAAATAAGGGAAAGAATGTAAGAAACCAAACCAAGGAGATACGTCATACAAGCTTTGGCAGTTCATGGAGTGGCGTAAGAATTGTGCAGTTATAGATAGTGAAGTCTCGAACGATCTCGATCTCATTCAGTTACCATTTTTTTTCAAAAGAAAGTCGATATTTACGCGTGATAGAGTGAGTTTGCATAGGTTTTTAGATGCAATTAGGGTAAATAATGGTGCTGAAGTTGGGGGAAGAAAGGAGAGAAGAGAGTTTGAAATGGTGCTCATCCTCTTTCTCCACCTCTTCAAAGCTATATAGACAGAATGAACAGCTGAGTGTCAGAGAAGCAACCAAAGATGGCTGCCTTCTTCTCAAAGAATTTGCAAGAGAGTTCTTAATTTCTTTCTTTGAATTGTGAAGTTGCTTTGTGTATGTTTTAGATGAGTGTTTTGCTACATTTTCTTGTTCTTCACACTCGAATATAGTTTGTGAAACATGGTGTGTTTTTTGCTTATCTTGTTATTAAGATACACTGAATCATCACTACAATCAAAACTTTGTGCTTTTTCATGCTATAGTGAGGAATTGTTTGATATATTCTTGAATTGTTCGGACTTGCATAGACTTACAGCAAGCTACTTCAGCATTTCTTCTTTCTGTGAGATCTTACGTCGGTTGAATGAAACATTTCTTGTAAGAGTGTGAAAATCTCTTCCTAACAAATGCGTTTTAAAATCGTGAGGCTGACAGTAATACGTAACAGTCTAAAGTGGATAGTATTTGCAAGCGATGGGGTTGGACTGTTACAAATGGTATCAGAGTCAAACATCGGTCAATGTGTCGTCAAGGACGCTGGGTCCCCAAGGGGTATGGATTGTGAGATCTCACCTTAATTAGAGAAGGGAACAAAACATCCTTGTAAGGGTGTGGAAACCTCTCCCTAACAGCCGTATTTTAGATCCATAAGGTGGATGGTGAATTGAAAATTGAGATAGATGTTGCCGTCTTGATAAAGGGTGGATGCAAATGACGACGTTGGAGAGATCATAGTCGAGAATTTAAAAGCCCTAAATCTTGAATTCTCGTAACATTACGCTAGGCAACAATAAAACAACTGAACCTAGCTTAATTAATTAAACTACGTACTTTCGAAAGTACGTAGAGGGTTATTGAATATGGGGTAAATAATTATATGAATATTGCAAAGATCCTTGGGCAGAAAGGAAAGGTTTTAGTCAAATTACATTTTAAGCCCCGATGCTTTGAAAAGTTTGTATTGAAATTACTTTTCGGTATACTTTTTATTTGTACTAAAAATTATAGAATTATACACAAAAACAATATTTGTAAACATAAAAATGATAAAATGGGAATTTATTCCTTAAAAAGAAAAGGAAACTGCGGCATGTGATGTGATGTCTAAAAATGTAATTTACTCGCAAGTTCTTTCTTCGTTCGTTCGATGGATATTGACTTGTGTTGCGCCAAATTCAGCCATTGGGAACGGGAGCGGGAACAAGAACAAGAAAATCCTTCCTGATCAAACGGGAAATTGAGATCCAGGAAGCAGGTTAACCTATGGAAATGGAGAATCAGCTGGTTGAACTCTGTCTCAATTCGGCCTGTGAGAGCAAGGACAGCGTCGAGAAATGGCGGAGGCAGAAGCGGAGCCTCGAGCGTTTGCCCTCTCATCTCGCGGATGCTCTTCTTCGCCGTCTACATGCTCGTCGTCTCCTCTACCCTTCTCTTCTCGAGTATTTTTCGATTCCGTTTTTTGTTTGTGATTATTTAGAAATGTCTGTTGAACGACCGAACGCGGATAGAGAACTTCTAGGCTCTCATTTCCTACATCGGAGACCGGAAGTCTCTCACCAAGACGTAAAACTTCTATATTGGATGGAAATTATTAAAATTTGTGTGAATTCGGATTTCATTCTGAGTACTTTGGGGTTGGAGTGACCAATCTGCTTCGCTTTGCATCTTAAGTTACTTTGACGCTTTTATCTTTGATTCTGTGATGTGTGTGTTGAAATGATCCAGTTGCATTATACTAGAATTGGAAGTTCCGGTTAACTCTTGATTGAGATGGCGATAATCGTCCTCAATTTGGTCTTGTCTGGAAACTCCAAAAAAGTAGCTGAAGAGGAAGCTATAGCTTATAATTTTGGTATTTCCCATCTTGCAAATGTTATTCTTCTATTTCATATTTCTTAGATGATTACATCGCATATGAGGTTGAACTTATGGCCTCTTGAAGAAAGCAGAGATGCCATAATTGCTAAGCTATGCTCATATTGGTGTTATTCTTCAATTTGATTGGGCGATATACTTTTAGGGAATGCTTATGAAGTTTATGTGCTTTCTTCATTCCTCTCTGTTTTTCACCTATAGATGGGGAGATTTAGCAAGTTATCCTTGTTGTTCACAAACATTCTGCTGAACTGGATGCTTTAATGCAGAGTTGTCAAATATACCATAGAGGTGGTTGATCTAAGTGGTGAAAATGCTGTCGATTCAGAATGGATGGCCTATATAGGGGCATTTCGTTACTTACGCTCATTAAACGTCTCAAATTGCCACAGGCTATCTAGTTCTGGTATATGGGCTGTTGCAGGTATGCTATAGACGGCTGAATTGCAAGTTACAGAAAGTTCCGTGTCGAATGATTCTAATTTGTTGTAATTTCTCCACTGCCCTAGTGGAACCCTGAAAATCTTTTGTTTATTTTCCATGAAAAGAAAGATACTTTCAAATTCTTTTCCTCTTTTTATCTACTCTATATTAGCAGGTCCATCTTAATTGAAGTGCTGCAAGTTAGTTAAGTTCGATAGTTATGTCCTTTGTTTATTTATAGGGATGACTACGTTAAGGGAGTTGAACATTTCTAGATGTTTGAAAGTTACCGATGCTGGAATTAGGCATCTCTTGTCCATACCAACTTTGGAAAAGCTATGCATTGCTGAGACTGGCATCACTGCTCGTGGAGTTACCCTCCTTTCTTCCCTGAAGACATTGATGTTCTTGGACTTGGGTGGTCTACCTGTCACCGATCAGGCCCTGAGTTCTCTTCAGGTATTTTCTTTTTTAATTTTTTGGTCAAGACAATTTGTCTACATGTTTTACTGTGAATTCCATGTTCCTTTTGTCTGTGGCTGCATGGTACACACCTATTGTTTCATGCAGTGCCAACGCGTAGGCATTCTCTTCCCTACACTTGGCACATGTCTACAACATCAAATAATGCTTGATAATGTATTGAATGGCAACATCAAATAATGCTTGATAACGTATTGAATGGCTATTGGATCTGTGATTGGCGCAGGACACTCCAGATATTTGTTCTTTTTGACGTTTGTCCCACTTGACGATTGGATTTCATTATAGCTTCTTCTTTGACAAACTAGTATACGGATAATTAGATTGTTATTTCTTCTCTGAAACTCAATCTGACTATTTATTTCCCATGTGAAATCTGTTTATTTATTGTTTGTCTATTAAATTTTGTTGCTCCTTTCTTGCAATTTGTTTTTTAATTAATATTTTCTTTTACTTGATCCTCCGTTTCTGTCTTACACTCTTTTAGGTGCTTACGAAATTACACCACCTTGATCTTTGGGGTAGCAAAATATCCAGCAGTGGATCTGATGTTCTACAAATGTTTCCAAAGTTGAACTTCCTGAACATAGCTTGGACTAATGTCACCAAGTTCCCAAACTTGCCTCATCTAGAATGCCTGAACATGAGTAACTGCATAATTGACTCTACACTTAAAGGGCCTGGTGATAAAGTTCCTCTGAAAAAACTTATTGCCTCTGGTGCTACATTTTCCAATGAGACTGAAGACCTGGGATTTGTTGGAACCAGTTTCCTATATCATCTGGACTTTTCGAATGCTTCTCTTCACAGATTCTGCTTCTTAACTGATATGAAAGCATTAGAATATTTGGACCTTAGCTCTACTACCATAGGAGACAACTCAATTAAATTAATTGCGTCTGTTGGGGAAAATTTGAAAAATCTGAACCTCAGCTGCACAACAGTCAGCTCATCTGGAGTTAGAATTTTGGCCGGGAAACTACCTAAACTTGAAACTTTATCACTATCTCATACCATGATTGATGATGTTGCCCTATCATATATAAGTACGATGCCTTCCTTGAAGAGTATTGACCTCAGTGAAACAGACATTAAAGGTATTGCTTTTGTACTAAAGAATACTTCGAGTATACCAATTCAGATCATATATGCTGCACTTTCCCCTTGGCTTCTTTTTATCACGCGCCAAACACTCACCAACTCTGCTGTTGTTCTTATCTAGCACCTTCATATAGTAGTTAGCTTGCTGAACACTTTTATTCTCCTGCACTGGAAGTTAATATTTCTTCCTAGAGGCAGGCCGCAATAACCATGTGCAGGTTTTATGTGGGTGGTTTCATAAGCCTATGCATTTAATTCTATTGGCATTACATTAACTGATGAATACTATTTGAAAATGTTTAGCCTTTGTTCTGTGCTAGATAGAAATAAACTTGTTTGGAAATTACTCCGCAGGATATGGGAAATGGGAAAATCAATTGAGAAATTATGGGCACCTATTGTTGCTGATATGTTCACCATGTCACTTCAAACCATCTGATTAGTTCTGTCTTTTTTTTTTTTTTTTTTTTTTTTTTTTT